CCCCAAAACCCCAAAACCCCAAAACCCCGCTATGATAGATAAATGGTATAATTTTGAATTAGATTATAATGTTTATTTATAAATATTAAATGATGACTTCATCCTTGCTCTCAGAACTCCGGGGTACGTTCTTATTACATGGGAATGTGATCCTGGTTAATTGACGAGGAATTCTAGGGGGTCAATCCTAGAGTCTGATTTATTATTCTCAAACTTAATAGTCTAAGTCATTCTCACATATAATTAAGCAATCAAAAATATAATAATGATGAGAAGACTTTCAGAGTTAAATGATAAGGTTAAATTTTAATATGAACTTAAATACGCATTAATGAGAGTGTTTGTTGTGTAAGTATGTATAACTTTGATATCAGGAGGATAGATTCTTTGAAGAATACATCCAATATATAGAATTTAGGTTAAGAATTAAAAGATTCATTGATTGATGATTGCTCAAGCACTTGCTCAGCATTTAAAGCATTTATCCTTTTTAGACTTCTTACCTTTTTTGCCTTTTTTATCAGAATTCTAATTTTCATCGTCCAAATCATCCTCATCTTTGTGCAACTCAGAGTTAATTTTAATTGACTTCCCTTTTTGTCTAGTCGTGTCATTTACTCCACTGCTTCCACCAGTCGTTTGATCGACAGTTTCATCCTTGACTTGCAACCTTATTCTGTGAACCTCTAAATTTAAAATCAATAGAATCTAAACTTGATCAATTTATAATATAATTGAGGTCTTGGTGATGTAATTTTTATATGATTTATTCTTACCTCTTACTATGCAATTAAATGCATTTTTAATGTTAGCTCCAGATTTCGCACTCACTTCTAAATAACCAAAATTTTTCTTCCTCGCATACTCCATCGCCATGTTGTAGGGCACCTCTCTCTGCGGGAGATCGCATTTGTTGCCTAGGAGCATAATAAGTATTCTAGAATCAACTGTCTGGGACATTTGCTCGAACCAGCCATCACAAGCTTTGAAGGATTCCATGCTCGTGCAATCAAAAACTAAAAACACGCCAACTGCTTTTCTGAAGTACAGAGGACTCAGAGACTTGTACTGCTCTTAGCCAAGAGTGTCCCAAAGGTGTAGCTGAGCCCATTTATCAGTTCGATCTATCTTGATTAGCTTCTTCTGCACTTGCATGCATTAAGAACTCTGTTCGTTATCATTAAACATATCATTCACAAATCTGTTGATAATACTGGTTTTTCCAACTCGCTAATGCCCAACCAGGATCAACTTGTAATTGTGATCTGCGAAGTCTTTGTCAAAGACATCATGCTATTATTCACTATAGTTCTTCTCCATTGATCTTAACTTGATTAAATTTCTAACTTAATTAAAATATTATAAATAAGGGCAATAATCATAACTATCTTATTTTTCCTGTTGCCTTGTTTGGTTACGCTCCTCCCACAGCTTGTCCAAAAATGTTAGTTTTCTTTCCAATAACAATTTTCTTAGGATTATTACTCGAGCCTCTCACTCTGGAAGTCTGCTAAGGCTCAATTATGGGCGACTTATTTGACTAATTTCCCTTGAGACTGTATCTCTTGGTAGGATCAACAGAATCAACCAAAAGGTTTGACTGCTGATAAGGTATTCCAATCCTCTGCACTCTCTCAAGACTCTATCTTTCATCTCTATATCTCTGATTGGGATTCTAATGTGTTGTGTTAACAAGCATCTGAACTTGATAATCCATGGGTGAGCTCTCTCTGACTCTATTTTGGCTGTTTGATTTCCCATTAATGTTGCCACTGCTGTTCTTGTTAGTTTGCAAAACTTTCTTAATAATTTACCGATTATTCTGAATGACTTAAGACCCATCATATCTATTGCCTACTGAAGAGTATCCACCCCCTATGACTTGCTGCTGAATGAGATACTAATTAGCCATGATCATATTCTAATCAAGAAGCTGATTATTGCTTGATGCATTTCTATTAGTTAATGGAGATTGTCTGCCTGAACTGGCATTAACATTATTTGAAGAATTCATATTTTATATTTAAGAAGCATAATAGTGTTAAGCATTTTAGTTATCTCCAATAAAAACCACATTCTATTGTATTTGATGCTATTGCTGCTTAGTTTTGTTCTTTGGAACAGATTTCTGCCTTGGGTTCATGCCTCTACTCTACTTTTACAGCTGAATCTGCTGTTGCTGTCTTGCTAAGAAGTTTCTTGAGTTGTTATTCAAGTTAGTACTGATATCTGCAATGTCAAGTGACATCACTTTCATCATTTGGTTTGTTTAATTAGAACTGTTTGTTGTCTGTTAAAGATTTTAGTTATGGGTTGGTTGAGAGTTGTAGCCGCTAGTTCCGTGTGAAATAGTTGAGGAGGTTTGAATATTGTTCTCATGCTGAAATTGCTAGTGATTTTATTGATACTGTTGATTTTTATTAGGATTACGCTTATTCATAAACTTCTGACTATTTTAAACTTGCTAGTACTAGTAGCTATTCATGTGATTACTTTGATTGTTGAGAGTATTCGAAACATCCTATTGCTTTGATTCCTCTAAATAGTCTCTTGGAGAAGGCATTCTGCCTCTGTTGTTAGCAATCAAATCTCCTCTAATTAAATCATCCATTCTGTTTGCTAGAGCTGGCTTGGTAGATTAGTTCTTTTGAAAGCCAGGCTATTAGATATCTCTTTCATGATTAGACCCTTTGAGAGAGGGTATATTACTAATACCTCCTGTATAAGATTTATAGTCCAATGAAGTCTTTATTAAATCTGTCTGATAGTTGGCAGTGCTTTAAAAGGGGGAATTATTAGTATTGTAGGTTTGCTTTCTAGAATCTTTAGAACTACTATTGTTTTGCTTTGATTTCTTTTTTAAATCATTATTATTCAATACTCTAGCTGACTATGAGCCAGTTCCTTGATTGAATGGCTTAATAATGGCATCTTAGTTATTATAACCAAAGATACTTGGTTTTTTAGAATTGACCTGATCATGCATGTCTATTGGACTGAAATTATTCTTCATTTTCTGATCTTAATTTAGCACAAGATTATCAATCATTTTCTTTTGAAGATTTTCTCTCTGAGTTTAAGAACCTGAATGATTTTAAGTTAGACTGAAAACGACATTAGGTGGAATGTTGAAGCCATGCTTGATTTTAAAATCTTGTTGCTAATGATTCAAGTTCACTGCTTGTTTTTTTACTTTTTTCTTTACAATGGCTTAATTATCTTAGTTTGGTTTTTAATTAGCCACCTATTTTACCATAGTTATTGCTTATTTAGGGATAGGGTCATTAGTGCCATATATTTATTAAAATTGTTATGCTTTTGGTGGGCTTGGAGCTTATTAAAGCGTTTATTAGTTAGGACTACCATTATGTACGCTATTAGATCCTTAAGATTACCTTCGTTTTTAGTCTGTCTTAATTTTTTCAAAATATTTCTGCTATTTAAGGTAGGGATTTACACCATTAGTATTAAAGATGAATTTTTAAGGGATTCCGTTGGCAAATCCTGCGACAGAGCTTTTTTCTGAATTTTAACTGATTGAAGCTTTAGTTAAAATAGGCTGACCATATTATTGATTTGCCAACATTTATTTATTATTCAGCATTTACTGTTATAAGACTTTTCTTTATTGCATCTATTTCATGATAACCTCTTTTTGCTTTTATTATTCATTAGCCATTGCTTTAATGAATTTTTCTGATTCCTCATGATGATTAAAACTAGACATTGTAACATCTAGAGTGGCAGTTACATTAGAATCGTTAGTAATTATCTACTGCTAGTTATCTTTTGTAACGAATGCTTGTACTAACAGTTCTAGATTGAGATCAGCAAAGCTCTTTATTAAATGACTTTGATTTCTATAGCTTTAGTTATTAGCTGATTTCCTGTTTGACTGGTCAAGCAGCTATGACTAGTGAATAAATGAAGAATGTTGAGTGTTTTAAGAAGGCAGTTTTTCTTGTTTCATAATGCTATCCATAAATCTAGTGTCAAAGAATCTCATAGAATTCTTCAGCCAAGACATCGAGCTCTCGTAGTTCTCAACATCAATATTGTTTATCTCAGCACTAATTGGCATAACTCCACCATTAAGCTTCATCATTTTCTTCTTGATCTTCTCCTCTTTCTTTTAATGCTTAGCTTATATACACCTCTACTTGTCATCAATGATCTTCTATTTTCTTTCAATGTTCTTGTACATCATTTTGCTCTCAGGCAGAATAACGTAATTCGGAAAAACCTTAGAATACTTCTCATAGAACTCAGTTATCCTGGGTAGCCTAGAGTTGGTTTCACTTTCATCATAAAATCTCTTCATGAATTCTGAGAGATCATCATATATCAAATAATCCTTAAATACTGCTACTATATGAGTAGGTTCATTGTATATGATATCATTAATGATCTTCACATTATAAAAATCTTTGCTAGTCATGTACTTCTTGTGCAAGTTATCCTTGATAATTTAACTCAAGTCATATTTCGTATTCCTGATATTGGTATCTATCTATTTATCAGGTTGAATAGCATTAAGATAAATCTATTATAGGATCGGGTGACACACAATACATTCCTTTGAAGTATAAGTCTAAAGGAAGCATTACATATTGAGGTTTCGCTCTATTAAATCCTGATGAGAAAAACCGTCAAAGTTAAACTCCATTTCAAAATTTGGATTGTGATTTTGGTCGTCAGTGAGCATTTACTAAGATACGAGGTCCAGGTCGTTGTCTAGATAATTAACTAAAGCTTGGGGGTATGCCTCCGTGCCCGGGCTTTGGTTTTTTAAATAGCTTTCCGTGAATTCAGCTGACACAACATCTTAGAATCTTCCCTCTTAGTTTGTTTCATCTCTAATCATATCGTCTGTGACTTCTTCTCCAAGATTTCTACCCATTGGTGAAGCATTTGAACTCACGATTCTTTGATTAGACATCGGAGAAGCAATATTTTCGCTTATGTCTTGCTGCTAGAATTATTTGAGATTCTAATTCATATTGTAAATTAAATTATAAGGATAATTAATTATTTTACATAATCAATTAAACGACATATTCATCATTAAATTACTAATCCAACCATCAACTACATCAAGTTACAACACTTTCACTTGCTCCTTTAAACAAAAATATCAGTTATCATTTCTATTGTACTTTAGACTCTTCTTCTTCATCCTCTTCATCGTAGTATTCATCTTCTTCCCCTGGCTACTCCTCCATCTTTTGTTTTCTTTCGTCCTCTTCTTTTTATTTCTCATTAAAGTAGTCCTTCACCTTTTAGATATAATCTGAATCAAGAGCAACGGCAAGTACTCTCTTTTGATTAACAACTAACTCGCGAAGATACTTTCTTAACTTAAGTCTGTTTATCATGATTTCCTCTTCAGTCTCAAAATCCTCAACAATTCTCATGTATTATAGCTTGAACAATCGGCCATCTTAAAATCTGGCAAGAATACGCATCAAAATTTCACATTGCTTAATATTTGCATTTAGTATCTCTTTGGCATTAATTCTATGCAAAATAGCGAATCTTAATCTAATTGGAAGGTTTGGATCTTAAAGAAGTCTTTGATCCTCTTCAATTGGAGTCTTGAATCTACTGCTATTAAGTCCCTTTAATAGATTGATGGTACAAGCAACAACTAGCATTTCAAATTCTGCATCAACCGGAGCAGACACTAGTAGATACTCTAAATTCTTACCCTTGTAGGTATTTAAGAGATTAGCTCTGAGGTACGCAAATATATCTTCACCTAATCTATTCTTCTTAAGTCTTATAATCTTTGATATTCTATCATTCTTTTGGCTATCATTGTCAGAATCACTAGAGCCAGTTCCCTCAACGTATGGCTTGCCTTCTTTTTCTGCTTGCTTCTTTTTAATTTGATCTTTTTCACGAGCCCTCTGCCAGTTAAAATTGATCCAAGCTCTGAATGAAAGGGAATTATACTTATTATTGTTAAGGCAAAAACCATAGTTTAAAAGCAAGAATCTATTGGTCCTACGACCATAGCAATGGAATACCTGCTAACCTTTCTTGTAAACGTTTTTATATTTAGTGCAGAGTACGAAGAAAGTATTGGCATCTCCATCATTATACCATGAAAAGTTTTCCTCATCATCATCTTCTTCAGAACTGTTATACTCTTCAGTTATCTTCGACCATTCTTCGTCATCCTAGTCTTTAAGTATCTTCATCCTTTGTTCCTGTTCATACATATAATGCTTTTGCATGACGAGTAAATCAATAAGATTTTCAGGTTATCTACCCTCTACTCTCTTTTTAACAACGACACTCTTCTTTGGCTCTTATCCACTTTCTCCTGTTTTATTATCATAGCTGTAAGTGAAATATACCCTCTATTTCTTTTTAGCAGGCCTTAATTTCTTAGCGATTTGCGGAACAATGTCATCTTTACCACCAATATCATCTTTCCATATTTTATCTATAGCTGTAGGTTCTTTTGAAACATCAATCAAAGTTTGATCTAATGTCTAGTTTAGAGTTATTTCTGTCTTGGTCTCAGAAGCCTTTAATTCTTCTTAATCAGATTTATTGCCTTCACTTCCACTTTCTTCTTCTTCGCTACTATCGTTATCTTCCTCATCACTTGTACTTAAATATTTCAATTCCCATATCTACTTTTCCTTAAATTTATCATCTTCTAGAAATTCTTTAGTACTCAGCTTTAGACATTCTTCCCTCATCTTTAGTTTTCTAATATACCTCTTAGTCTTATATGGGACTTCTTGATTCAAATCAAATTCTATAGCATTTTCATTATTTTGTTATTAGTCGGTTTTATAATTATCCTCAGTAAAGTGCTTGTAGCAATTTATTCTCATCTTAATTTGAGTAAAATATTTTAGCTCAGACTCAGTTAGATCTGACTTATCTTATTTGCCATGTAGCTTAGAATTAAATAGCTCGTATTGGTTGTCAATGATGAAATGATTGGCACAGTCAGCAAATGGAACGACCATAGTTGAGGGTAAGCTCCATCCAAAGCACCTCGTTACAGTGATAGTAAAGGCTTTCCTGAATTGCTTTTCTGTAAAATTGTTGATATCTATTAGTTGAGGATAAAGTGATGCTATTTCATACAATGCTTCAAATTCAGCTTCGTATTCTTCCTTATAGTCCTTAATCTCTGCTTTCAATAGCTCATCTTCTAACTCTTATATATCTTTATCTTCCCAGTAACAAGGCAAGTCTGATTCCTCTGTGATTTCAAAGTATGGAGCCCACAAACTTTTCTCACCTTTAGATATTTCAAAGGCAATAAAGAATATCAATCGCAGATATTCCCCATCTGCGTGCAATTTAAAGACATCTTGATGTCTTTTTATGATAAACCCAATTTCACTGTTATGAATTTTATCATCATCAATGATGACCTTGGAAGGGATATAGATATAAGATTCCTCAGGCCCAATGTCTCTTTTTGCGGCAATACCTACCAAATGACCTCCCTTACCAAAAGCCACTGGATATTCAATTGAATCATACCTAGCACCTTGCTCTTTCAACCATATATGAAAATTGATATATTTAGGCTAAGATTGAAGTTCTCTTGTCTTTTCCCAATGAATAAATTTCATGTCCTCTATCTCAAGTCTATCAGATAGCTCATTAATCAAGTAGTCTACCATTTTATTACAACTTTTATAACTTTTATAACTAATGATAAATTTGATTTCTTATCCATCAGTTTTGTCATGGGGTTTTGGGGTTTTGGGGTTTTGGGG